GAATTCCAATTGAATTCCTTAGGATTCCTCCGAGATTCCTTCGAATTCCTCCGAGATTCCTTCGGATTCCTCCGAGATTCCTTAGGATTCCTGCTGCATTCCTTGGGATTCCTAAAAAATTCCTAAGGATTCCTTTGGCATTCCTTAGGGTTCCTGAAGAATTCCTTGGGAATCCTAGAGATCTCCTTAAGATTCCTGAGAATTCCTTAGGTTTCCTCGAGGCTTCCTTGGGACCCCGCAGGGATTCCTAAGGATTCCTTAGGATTTCCTTAAGATTCCTTCAGGATTCCTTCGGATTCCTGGAAGGTTCCTGGAAACATCCTTAGGTTTCCTGCAGGCTTGCTTGGGATTCCTGAAAAACTCCTAAGGATCCCACGAGATTTCGTCAGGATTCCTGGAGAATCCCTCAGGCCTCCTCAGGGATTCCTTAGGATTCCTGATGAATCCCTCGGGGTTCCTCAGGAATTCCTGAGAATTCCTAGAGAATTCCTTAGGATTCCTTGGGAATTCCTGAGGTTCCTTGGAGAATTCTTGAGGATTCCGCGAGAATTCCTTAGGATTCCGCACAGCGTGCCGGCCATGAGTCCAATGTGAAGGACGCGTAGTTTATATCGGGTTTTCGTACGCCTGTATAGAAGCCCATCCAAACTACCGGCCATAAACAGGCCGGCCATAGACGACGGGTGACCCTACTACCACTACCACTACTACCACTACCACTACCACTACTACCACTACTACCACTACTACGACTACTACCACTACTACCACTACTACCACTCCTACCACTCCTACCACTACTACTACTACTACTACTACTACTACTACTACTACTACTACTACTACTACTACTACTACTACTACTACTACTACTACGACTACTACGACTACTACTACTACTACTACTACTACGACTACTACTACTACTACTACTACTACTACTACTACTACTACTACTACTACTACTACTACTACTACGACTACTACTACTACTACTACTACTACTACTACTACTACTACTACGACTACTACGACTACTACGACTACTACTACTACTACTACTACTACTACCACTACCACTACCACTACCACTACTACTACTACTACTACTACTACTACTACTACTACTACTACTACTACTACTACTACTGCTACTGCTACTGCTACTGCTGCTACTGCTGCTGCTGCTGCCGCTGTTGCTGCTGCTACTACTGCTGCTGCAACTGCTACTGCTACTGCTACTGCTACTGATACTACGACTACTACGACTACTACGACTACTACGACTACTACGACGGCTACGACTACTACGACTACTTCTACGACTACGACTACTACTACTACGATTACTACGATTACCACGAGTACTACGACTACTACGACTACGACTACGACTACGACTACGACTACGACTACGACTACGACTACTACTACTACTACGACTACTACGACTACTACGACTACGACTACGACTACTACTACGACTACTACGACTACTACGACTACGACTACGACTACGACTACTACGACTACTACGACTACTACTACTACTACTACTACGACTACTACGACTACTACGACTACTACGACTACTACGACTACTACTACTACGACTACTTCTACTACTACTACTACTACTACTACTACTACTACTCTACTACTACTACTACTACTACTACTACTACTACTACTACTACTACTACTACTACTACTACTACTACTACTAACTACTACTACTACTACTACTACTACGACTACTACTACTACTACTACTACTACTACTACTACTACTACTACTACTACTACTACGACTACTACTACTACTACGACTACGACTACGACTACCACTACTACTACTACTACTACTACTACTACTACTACTACTACTACTACTAGACTACTACTAGTACTAGTACTAGTACTAGTACTAGTACTACTACTACTACTACTACTACTACTACTACTACTACTACTACTACTACTACTACTACTACTACTACTACTACTACTACTATTACTGCAACTACTGCTACTGCTACGACTGCTACTACTACTAACCATTCGAGGGTGCCTTCCCCCAGGAGGCACAAGAGCGCCCAGCGAGTATGAAGAACCTGCCCTCCCCGAGCCGACTTCGATCTCATATGTCGGTGCGACCGTACAGATCCCGAGGCGCCGCAGCGGAAGTGAGGGGGCGCGGACAAGCTGTAGTAACTTACCTGGCTAGTGTTGGGCGGAGATCCTGCAGCTCGCTCTCATAGGGTCGAGCAGCTCACTGCACTCTGAGGCCTGTAACGCCTTAGGAGCCTCCCATGGAGTCATCCATAGCAGAATTTCTTGTGAGATGGCCTGCTTGCGAGCGACTGCCATACGGACAAGCTGTAGACCCCCGTCCGTCTGTCCCCTTGGAGGCTCACGCTGCGCGCCCCGCCATCCTCCAGGTGCAGCCGCAGCGCCTGCCGCAGCTCGGCGACCGCCGACTCCAGCGCCAAGGCGCGGCCTATAGCCCACACTGCCTCCTCCTCCTCCTCATCATCATCAGTATCATCATCCTTCCCCCCCATCCTCCACCTCCTCCTGCTCCTCCCCCTCCTCCTCCTCCTCCCCTTCCTCCTCCTCCGCCTCCTTTACGATACACAATATGAATACTACTCTCCTCTCTCCCCTGATCACGTCTGGAAGATATCCGCCCCCCCCCCGCGTATTTTTTACACGCAAGACTCCCTGGAAATGGGTTTCCGTCGGTTTCTTTCAAAATTTTGCTCCCGCTGAATCGCTGGCCCCATTTCTACGCCTCTGGTTGTTCCAAATCGTGCTCCCGCTGCAGCGCGGGCGTTTTCGGTCCTTCCAATTTGGGCCCCCAAATCTAGGAAATGACCCCCCGATAAAAACCATCGGAAGTGTTTACACATTCGGTGTCGATTCGTTGATGTTTTGTGCCGCAAAAGCCCCCCCCCCACTTTGGGGCGTCGTCGTTGTCAGGAAGTGTCAAGCGGGAGCCCCGTTTGTGCACTGAGAAGACGAGGTTGAAAGCAGAGCCAGCGGGTGCTCTCCATCAGCCCCGCCTTGTGTGGAGCTTTTCGGGGAGCCCAAGGAGATAGACATGGAGCCACGACTCCAGACCAGCCCAGACCTCTCGAAGATGGTCCATTTACCCTCCAAGGAACCCGGCGCCATGCCATGACATGCTGTGCGGTGTTGTGTTCTGCGCCGCTCTTCGGTGCCATGCTTTGCGTTGCAATGCTTCGTGATGCAATGCTTCACAGCGCAATGCCACGCCATGCTATGGCATGCTACGCTCTGCCGTGCTCTTCTACGCCATGCCATGCCATGCTTTTACCATGCATCGCGTACCCTCTCGCGATCATTGCCCTGCTCGATGTGCGAATAGAGAGGATATCTACGCCATGGTGAAGGATGGGAGGGAGGGGTAGGGCGTCAGATATGACGCGAGCGCACCTAGCTTGCCCTCCTCCCCCTCCTACCCCTCCTCCTCTTTCTCCTCCTCCTCCTCCTCCTCCCCCTCCTGCCCCCTCCTCCTCGTCCTCCTTCTTCTCCTCCTCGTCCTCTTCCTCCGCTCACTCCTCCTCCTCCTCCTTCATCTACCTTCCCCTTCCTTCTCATCCTCCTGCTTGCCCTCCACGTCTTCCTTTTCTTCCTCCTGCTCATCTTCCTCAACCTCCTTTTCCTCATTCTCCTCTTCCTCCACATCCTCCTCCTCCTCCATGTACCCTCCCATTCCTTCCCATCCTCTTGCTTCTCCTCCACGTCTTCCTCCTCCTCGTCATCCTCGTCTTCCTCCTGTTCATCCTCCTCTTCCTTCTCATCCTCCTTCTCCTCTTCCTCGTCCTCCTCCTTCCCCTCCTCCTCGTCCTCCTCCTCCTCCTCATCCTCGTCTTCCTCCTGTTCATCCTCCTCTTCCTTCTCATCCTCCTTCTCCTCTTCCTCGTCCTCCTCCTCCTCGTCCTCGTCCTCGTCCTCGTCCTCGTCCTCGTCCTCGTCCTCGTCCTCCTTCTCCTCCTCCTTCTCCTCCTGCTCCTCCTCCTCCTCCACCCTCCTCCTCCCTCCTCCTCCCTCCTCCCCCCCTCCTCCCTCCATCTCCCTCCTCCTCCTCCCTCCTCCCCCTCCTCCCTCCTCCCTCCTCCTCCTCCTCCTCCTCCTCCTCCTCCTCCTCCTCCTCCTCCTCCATCTACCCTCCCCTTCCTTCTCATCCTCCTGCTTGTCCTCCACGTCTTCCTCCTGCACCTCCTCCTCCTCCTCCTCCTCCATCTACCCTCCCAGTCCTTCCCATCCTCTTGCTTCTCCTCCACGTCTTCCTCCTCCTCCTCCTCCTCCTCCTCCTCCTCCTGTGTCCTGTCTTGACAACTGTTGATGCAACTTGTTCGCTCACCTTGGACAAGACTTCAAGCGGTCTGCCGTCGTCTTGCCCATCTCGGGGCTGAAAATGGCCTGCCCGCCCCCGGGACTACGAAGAGTGGGTACCGGGGGGGGGGGGGGCAGGGGGGGAACTCTGGAAAAGTGCACTGCCCCTAGGCCCGGGGGCCCGGGCGCCCGTTGTCTGTATTTTGGACTCGGCGTGGCCGCAAAGGCCGCCGCCACGCATATCTCTGCTTCCCGTCAGCACTCTTGCTGTCATCCTTGCCGCTGTTCTCATTCGTGTTATGGGCAGCAGTATTATGAGGGAGGCCACTCTACAGGCAATCCGTAGAATAGGGATGCGCGATAGGGATGCAAGGGCCCTGGAAGGCATCGTCGACCCTTTGCGGGCGGAGCGCGGCCAGCGAGAGCGGCCAAAGATGGGCCGAAGGGGAAGGACGCAAGGTTAGCTCGGAAAATTGTCCATCCTTACTGTACGGGTTGACTCTCGTGTTATTCGCACCGCTGTCAGGTTCATTCTGCATGTGTTTACAGCTAGACCTGGGACAGAAGAACATCCTTCAAGAACATGAGGCCCTCCGCCAGCTCAAACTGAAGAATATTCGAGGGAAACCTCCCCCAGGATGCACCAGAACATCCAAGAGACACGAAGAACAATAAGGTATCCTCCCCGAGCCGACCTCGATCTAATACCTCGGTCCGACCGTCTTATGCTTACTATTAAAATTATCCCAGCAAAGCAACCTAACAGCGATGTGTATAAGCATGTCTGGAATCATTCCCCTTGAGATTCGGGTGAGAATCCAGTTGTAGAATTCTGCTGTTTTCGCAGTCGCAGTCGCATTCGCAATGACAGTCACAGTGGCAACGGCCTTAGGATCCAATGGAATCCTAAGGATTCCTAGGGATTCCTAAGGCATCCTTAGGCATCCTCAGGAATCCATAGGAATCCTAGGGAATCCTAAGGATTCCTAAGATTCCAGAGGATGCTTAATTATGCCTACGGATTCCTAAGGATGCCTACGGATTCCCAAGGATTCCTATGGATTCCTACGGATGCCTCAGCCTGCCTCAGTTTCAGCCTCAGCCTCAGCCTGCCTCGGCTTGCCTCAGCCTCAGCCTCAGCCTGCCTCGGCCTCAGCCTCAGCCTCAGCCTCAGCCTCAGCCTCAGCCTGCCTCGGCCTCAGCCTGCGTCGCCTCAGCCTCAGCCTGCCTCAGCCTCAGCCTCAGCCTCAGCCTGCCTCGGCTGCCTCAGCCTCAGCCTCAGCCTCAGCCTGCCTCGGCCTCAGCCTGCCTCGGCCTCAGCCTGCCTCAGCCTCCCCTCCTCCCCCCCCCTTCCCCCCCCATTCAGCCTCACCTTGTCTCAGCTTCGGCCTGCCTCGGCCTCAGCCTCCTCAGCCTCAGCCTCAGCCTCAGCCTCAGCCTGCCTGCCTCGGCCTCAGCCTCAGCCTCAGCCTCAGCCTCAGCCTCAGCCTGCCTCAGCCTCAGCCTCAGCCTCAGCCTCAGCCCTCAGCCTCGGCCTCAGCCTCAGCCTGCCTCAGCCTTCAGCCTGCCTCAGCTCAGCCTCAGCCTGCCTCGGCCTCAGCCTCAGCCTGCCTCAGCCTCAGCCTCAGCGTCAGCCTGCATCAGCCTCAGCCTCAGCCTCAGCCTGCCTCAGCCTCAGTCTCAGCCTGCCTCAGCCTCAGCCTCAGCCTCAGCCTGCCTCGGCCTCAGCCTGCATCAGCCTCGGCTTCAGCCTGCCTCAGCCTCAGCCTCAGCCTGCTTCGGCGTGCCCCAGCCTCGGCCTCAGCCTGCCTCGGCCTCAGCCTGCCTCAGCCTCCCCTCCTCCCCCCTCCCTTTCCCCCCCATTCAGCCTCACCTTGTCTCAGCTTCGGCCTGCCTCGGCCTCATCCTCAGTCTCAGCCTCAGTCTCAGCCTGTCTCGGCCTGAGCCTGCCTCAGCTCGGGCATTCAAAATATGGCACAGGACTGGTGTTCTGGGAGCACGAAGAACACGAAGTGGCCTACAGTTGGCTCCGGGCATTCAAAATGTGGCCTGGGAATTATGTTCTGGGTGCACGAAGAACACGAAGTGGCCTACAGTTGGCTCGGGGCATTCAAAATGTGGCCTGGGAATGGTGTTCTGGGAACACGACGAACACGAAGTGGCCTACAGTTGGCCCTGGGCATTCAAAATGTGGCCTGGGAATGGTGTTCTGGGAACACGAAGAACACGAAGTGGCCTACAGTTGGCTCCGGGCATTCAAAATGTGGCCTGGGGATGTGCTCTGGGAACAGAATCTGTAGGAATCCGTAGGAAACTATCAGAATCTATAAGAGTCCTGGGTGGTCCCCGGATTGTCCCGGCATCCGCCCAGACCCCCTTTGGGGAGTCAAGATGCTCTCTTTTGACCCCACTAGAAACCTATCAGGCTTCGCTGTTAGGTAAATACTAGATGTATTATAATATGTTATCTTCTCGTCTAGTCTAATGTATTCTATGATATTACGTTCTAGCACATTCTACTCTACTAGACTATATTGTGTATAGCTGTATATTACTAGATTACATCATATTATATGGGATCCTATTGTTTTGTAGTTTACTATGGTGGCGGATGTGGTATTACTATGTCATCACAGTTAATTTTGCTATGCTATAAAATGGTTAATACGATCATTACTTTTAACATGGGTAATGTTATTATTGTGACGTACGCTATTCTTCATACTAGTTCTTATTATACGTATGATTCCTACTCTCATTATTCGTATCCTTACTACTGCTTACTAAAGCGACTTTTACTGTTACTGTTACTGTTACTGTTACTGTTACTACTACTACTACTACTACTACTCCTACTACTACTACTACTACTGCTACTTCTCGTACTAGTAATAGCACTAGCACTAGTACTAGTATTAGTGCTACCACAACTACTACTACCACTACCACTACCACTACCACTACTACCATTACTACTACTACGACAACGACGACTACTACTACTACTACTACTACTACTGCTACTACTACCACTACTACTACTACGAGTACTGCTTGTACTACTACTACCACTGCCACCACCACTACCAACACCACTACTACGACGACTACGACTACTACTACTACTACTAGTAATCC